AGAGAGAGAGAGAGAGACGGACAGAGAGAGAGAGAGAGAGAGAGAGAGAGAGAGAGAGAGAGAGAAAGGGAGATATGCCACACTGAGATGGATGGTGAGGAACATCGAGAGGCAACAATGCAGGACACAATCATCTTTTAGCGCTACCGCAACAGAGAAAATACTTTCACAGCAACAATGGGCCGATGGATGCGCGGCGGTCGCCACGTAGTGGTCACGCGGAGCATTCGCATGTAAATGAGCGTTATTATCGTCGTGGCAGCAGCCACAACGCGGCCTGCAAAAGGCAATCACTGCAATTGTGAAAGGCAATCATTGCAATTGTGAATTGCAATTGCGATAGCCGCGGCGAATAATGCACGCAGTCGGGGTGGTTCAGGGCGGACAGAAAAACCATAGAGAGAGAGAGAGAGAAGCCAATTCATCTCGCGATAGACAACACCCCGCCACTCCCCCTCTATGCCCATAAACACGTCACACACATAATGGCACACTGGCGCTCACGTTAGACCAGGTCAATGAGCAAAGAGGAAGAGGAAAAAGTGACTGTGTGCGTGTCTGTGTCAGAGAGAGAGGGGAGGGTGAAGAGCACCATTGCTGGATGAAAAAGAAATGGAAAAAACACTCGCCAAACAGCTCACAAAACAATAATCAACGTTCCAATATCATTACTGGAGTGGGGGGGGGGGGGCGTCTTTTCCTGCATTAATCAGTGTTAAATCACAGGTGGCTTCAAAAATACAAAACTTACTAAGTTTTGAAACTGCAGAATAGAGTAAGCTACAGGTTGCGACTCGTGATGGAGTAATCCAACTTCGCAACAAGCACTGTAACTTTCTCACGAACAACTGTTCTTTGATAAATAAGCAAAATTGTTTAACGTCTGATCTGGCGTATCCTTTGAAACCCGCTTCTTTGTAAAACGAACGCTGTTTATAAGGAGCTAAAAGTGAGAACCGAAAATTATAGCCGGTTGACAAGAAACAGCACCTTTGCAAACGACTCGGCCCTTCACTAGAATGGCGAGAGAGGTGCAAATTCCAAGTCGCACTGCTGAACGACGTCAAATATGACGCAGGTCTTTATGGAGAAGGGGCGCAAGAGGGAGGCGGCGAAGCGAAGGGGGCTCTCTTGTATGGACACCGAGATGAGTATGGGGCACTTGAGGACGTCGGCTGGAGTGCGCCGCCTCGACGGCATGACGGCCCTGATGAGGTGGTCGATGGTAATGCGTCGTATGCCCGCCGATGGCGCGCCGATCTCCAACGGGGGCTGATGCCTCTCCCCGCCCCCTCTCCCTTTCTCTCTCTCTCTCTCGCTCGCCGTGAATTTTTATCGAGATGTATGAAGAGTGTAGGAAATTGGTGGCAGGCCTGAGAGGTGAGGGTTGTTGATTCGGAACAGATAAAGATAGACAGGATGAGGAGCGAGGGAGAGAGAGAACGGCAGTGGGGGGGGGGGGCGAACGCGGGAGAGTTGCGGAGTGGAGATCATGCAGTCAGCCCAACCTCCCCACCAGCCGTATTACGACAATTCCGCATGAAATTCCCACCCCCGCAAGGGTTATGTGCGCCGGTCGCGGACCTATGACGGACCCCTGAGCCGTATAACCCTGCAGCCGCACATCGACGAGGGAAATGCCAAGGTCGATGAGTGACCCACACCGAGGCGCGTTCACTGGAATGGTTTCGAACACTTCACCCCCGCCCTAAGTTCACCACGTTGACCATGTGTGCTACTTCACCGTGCAATCAAAAAGGTTCAAGCGAATCTTTCAACTCGATTCCTCAAAGCAGCACAAACTCGAAAATCTTCTTTCGCAGTAAGAAGGCGCAGCGCCGCTGCGGCAGTAGCAGCACACCACCCGTGTCAGGGCACCCAAGGCCTGCTGTTGCAGACGACGACGAGGAAGGGGAGGAGAGGAAGGGAAGGGGGAAAGGAAATTCGGGGAACGACGCCTCAGACGACAACGGCGCCCGGCGACGAGCGGGGACGCCATCCCCTGCGCCATACCGCCACTTGTTCTCCTCATTCAGAATTCCCCCAGACAAGGCGGCGCTCGAGCAGCATATTATCAGTGGTACTGCTCGGGGAGGGGCGGGGGAGGAGGGGAAGCGAAGGGAACAACCGGGTAAAATGTGAAGGGAGGGGGGTTGCACCTTTACCATATCCACCAAGTGTGCTTCCGAAAAATGACAAACGAACTCATCAATTGGTGCATAGTGTTCCAGTACACAGGACACAGGCACTGATATATGAAAAGGGCAACACTTGCAAGTGTTCGACTTGTTAGACTCGTTTTAGAGTTGAATAGAACGGCGTTGAACACTTGCTGGTATTCAACTTGCAGTTGCTAATGATAAAGGTTAACCATCGTTCGTTGCACACTTGGTTTGCCTGCCACGGCTTATCGACTGAACAACATCCGTAGGTGTACCAACTTGTGGCACACGATGGTCAAACGGTGTATACTCCAAAGTAGTTTAGGATAGTTTATAGGCGGCTTTATCCATTCCATGAATGGCAAAAATCGCCAGGTAATATAGAAGTTTAACGTTTTTCTTATGGATCAGAAGACTGGTCTGTTTGCTACATTCGTTCAGTTGTCATAGTCACCAATCAGAAATAAATAGCTCAGGCGTATTTTAAACTTATAATTTACGGCGAACTCATTCGGACCTTCGCGATGGAGACATTTTTGGCCGCAAGGTAAAGGATACGCGCTTTCTGTAGCATGAAGCAATCCGTTTAAATCGCAGAGCAGGCTGTCTACTATACTACTACCGCCACTGCACCACGCGTTTCACACAAGGAAACGCAACCGAAGGCACCCCCTGGTCTTCGCGCCCCGCCGAGCCCCACCGCGTTCCGCCCCCACGCTGTTCGCGGGCTCCAAAAGACTGCTTAAGACCTGGTCTTTGCACCCGTGTAATTTAACTAGTTAAAAATTGAGGATAGCCAATTAAAGGTACACTGGGACACCGTATCCCGATTTCAGCGAGCTTATTTACGAAATCTCCGCCGGATAATCTTCTAGACTTGGCCACGCGCGCGTTCGATGGTCGCCAACGCGCCTCTCCCAATAAAAGCTTTCCGCTGACACACGATGATCTCCCCGGTGCCGGAGTGTACTTATACCTCCCCGAGAGTTTTCCTCGCGTGCTCGGCGCGCCCTGCCCTAGGCCCGTGACTAGCTGGACCAGCCGAGAGGGAGGGGGGGAGAGGGGGGCAAAGCCGCACATCAAAGGCACTGCCGTGGGAAACCATGGGGGAAACGGTGGTCCCAGACCGGGAGGGGGGGAGGGGACTGAAGGCGCTGGAGGCTGTGCCCGCGCTCTGGAGGAGTCCTGGAATAAACCGCATAGGCATTAGAAGGGCGCCTCCGCCGTGCCTCGGATTTTTCAAGCATCTCGATGATCTAATGCCATTGCCCGACGGGCGGCCTAAGGCGGCCTATTATCATTACGTGGCAAAACTACACACGCGGGGTTTGCGGCGGGTGCGGCGGCACTTGCAGAGCGGGGCTGCTGGAGGATATGTAGTTAGCGATAAGTAGGGTCGAAAAGGAGGGTCCGGCGAAAAGGAGGGTCGGCGCAAACCGCCGCGTACGCTTGTTTGAGCTCGCTCCTGTCCGATTTCCGACACATAAGCATCCGTTCATGTTCGCTATGAACTATGAACACCTGAAATGTGGACAGGAGCGATCTCAAACAAGCGTACGCGGCGGTTTGCGCCGACCCTCCTTTTCGGCGAACCCTCCTTTTCGACCCTACTTATCGCTAACTACATATCCTCCTGCTGCTGCCGGGCTGATCCGCTCTTTGTTCGCCTCACTTCTGCGCTCCTAATGTGTGTGAGTGTGCGTGCGTGTGTGTGTGTGCGCCCGCGCTCCTTTCTTCCCTATGGATTCCTTCCGCACCGATCGACCACATCAAAGCCGCCGCCCCGGGCCGCGTGGGAAACAAGGGGCAGCGGCGTAGCTCAGCCGAAGCGGTCTGCATGGTGTTGTGTGTGGGGGCGGGCAATATGTGTCGCAACGGAGTGACGGTCACGTCACGCGGCAAGTGGCACGTCAGTGACATCACGGCATTGACAAAAGGTTACTCCGAATACTGATGACCTTAGTGATACGTGTTAGACCTGCTATGTTATACTACGTGGCTGACTCACGCTGCTGGCGCGGGTTTGCCTATCCTAGCTGCTCACGGCTCCTGTACGGCCCCGTGCGGGTAGGCAACCCGTCCGCACGCGTGCATGCGGTTCACCATGACTACGAAGGTGCGCGGCGTGAGTCATCCACCCGGTGCAGTTGCACGCTGTATGACTTTATACTGCATCTACTTTTGGATGGGGCACACACACGCCTGGTATACGAGGTACCCCAGGCTCATGCTCCTCATGCCCCCCGCCCCCCACCCCGCAGGATGTTGTTTGTCTCGAGAATCACTTTGGCACGCTCGGCCGCGGTGCCCCCCC